AAGTGCAAAGAGAGACTTAAGATAAAGTCAGGTGGAACGGGGAGCTGGTAAAAGAAAGTTGTCAGCCTGCGTGACTGAAGCTCCTTGGAGACCAATGAAGAGACACATAGATGTGTAAAGAACAGCTGTTGAAGTCGCACAAGGTTGCAGCCAGCAGCCCAGGAGGAAAGTGGACCCAGGGAACTCTGGGAGCTATGGGAGGTCAACCCACTGTACAAAGGACTGATGAATATGGAGCCAGCCCAAAGGGAGCTCCCAGTGGAAGCCCCTTGCCTACTCTAAAAGAGACACTGCAAGGCAAAAAGCCTTAGGACAAAACTCTGGTGAGGGGAGGCAAGGTTGAGTTAAAGCTCATAGGCCCACCTGACCTATCACACCCCAGAGAATGGCAGACATGCCGCTGGTGAGCCAGCCATTGGGAAGTGAGCTACTGGAGGGTGATCTGGACAAGGGCAGCACTCAGGGAAGGAAGAGAGTACCCATCCCACATCCAAAGGGCATGAATCCTGGAGTGAAACACAAGGAAAGCTCAAACTAATTTGCCTGGGTGAGCATTAAGACCCAGCAGTCAAGGCCCAATACCCAATATTGGGGCATGGAGATCTGCAGGGGTATGCACACCTGTGGCAGGAACCTCCTGGTGGCATGCTTGAGCAATCCCAGGTAACTATAGATGGGAATCTACTGGCAAAGTGAACTTTCAGAACAGAACAGCAATTTTAGCAGCGACATTAGCAATAAATTTGCAAACCCCCTTGTTCCACAGACTGTGGGTAGCACTAGACAGGAGGGACACTGCCCAGGCAGATGAGGGAAACAGCCAGGACAGCACAGAGTGCAGAGACTGAGGCTGAAGCTTCGCTACCCACAAATTCAGAAGCCATAAGTACAACATAGAATTTTTTCAAACAAAAAAATTTGTTTGAAAGAAGATCCATAGATCTGAAAGGCCATGGGAAAGAGCAACAGTAGAGCAAGTTATAAAAATGAGTAAGATCGTGTTTCTCTAAAAAAGGAGCAAAAGATCATCCCAATCTTAGAGCTGTAGGATTAAGACATTGAGGATGCCCCCCCCCAAAAAATTATAAAACTCTTCAGATGAGAAATAAAAGCAAAAACTCAACGAACTTAAAGCATATATCACAACAAACTATAAAGATGCAAGCTATAAAACAGAACCAAACTGAAACATCTGAACTGAAGAATACAACCGGGCAAAATTAAAACACAGAAAACCTCACCAATAGAATAAATGAGGCAGAAGAAAGAATATCAAAACTGAAAGATAACCTATCCCAGGACATGCAAATAAAAAGACACACGGATGAGAAGCTGAATAAAGTGAAGAAATGATCCAAGAACTGAATGACACTATTAGAGAATAGAATATCAGAATCTTAAGTTTTCTGAAGAAATGGGAAAAGAGGTATGAATGCAGAAAGCATTCAATTCAAATGTAAAAGAGAACTTTCAAAACATTGGGAACATAAGGGGAAGCCACATACAGGAAGGGCAGAGAACCCCAAACAGACTCAACCCAAAAAGATCCTCACCCAGACACAACGTTGAGAAGCTTTTCTCAACTGAACACAAAGAATACTGAAACAATTATATATATGATTATATATATAATGATCAGATAGCATATAGAGGAAAACCAACTATCAACTTCTCAGAAGAAACCTTTCAAGCAAGAAGAGAATGAGAATGGAGTGACATTTTCCAGATCCTAAAACAAACAAAAAGTTGTCAACCCAGAATAATACATCCAGCAAGCTCTCATTTGTGCTTGAAAATGAAATAACCAACAAAGTGAAAATTAACCAACAGAGAGGGAGAAAATCTTTGCATATTACACTACAGATAGGGGGTTAACATGCAGAATATATAAAGAATTCCAAAAACACAATAACAACAAAACAAGCAAACCAGTTAAGAAATGGGCAAAGGAAATGAGAATACACTTTTCAAAGGAATATATTCAAATGGCTAACAGATATATGAAAAAAAGTTCAAGTTCCCTAGCAATAAGAGAAATTCAAATAGAAACCACAATGAGGTTTCATTTTACCCCAGTGAAAATGCACACATACAGAAAACTACCAACACCCGCTGGCGAGGATATGGGCACAAAACAACCCTACTACACTGCTGGAGGGATTGCTAATTGGTGCAGCCACTAAGGATGTTGGTATGGAGACTACACAGGCAAATACCAAATAACCCAGCAATCCCATCCCTGCAAGTATATTCAAAACAATTGATACATACACATGAGAAAGCAATGTATACCCCTATATCATTAAAGCACAATCAAAAATCACAAAAACATTGAAACAATCTAGATACCCATTAAAGGAGGAATGGATAAAGAAACCATGATAATCTATTTTATGGAAAAATATTCAGCTACTAAAAAGAACGAAATTTTACCATTTGCAACCTACTGGTCCCAATTGGAAATCATTTTGTTCAGTGAAATGAGCCAGTTCCAAAAGGACAAATATTAAATGTTTGCTCTAATACAAGGCAACCTCCATCGAGAATGCAAAATGAAAACTTATATAAAGAAACACGCACTTGTCATCTCACAAACTAAGGATATAACGGAGACAGGATTGCCAGGAATCAAAGAAAATTGACAGAAGGCATTTTTACAATTAGATAAAAATAGACCCCCAGTGAAACTTCTAAATATACCTAGACAACAGAATATTAAACTTTCTACCATTGCCTATGCCAACACTGTCATGACCCACGTAAGGAGCTGAAAGTTGGACTACTCTACACTTGATAGATTATTTTACTATGAAACACAGGAGATATTGGAGGGAGACATTATAAATGTTCTTTTTAATATTGTTTTTGCTACACCTCATGTGCTCTGATATACATTTTTAAATTTTATTTCTTCAAAAATTATTTTTCTCTGCTTTTCCTTATTAATTTTAATATATATATATCCCCAGCAACATACAGATGATGAGAAATTAAAAATGCATATTTTAAATAGACTAGAGATAAACTCTGAAAACCTGGACCTAAAAGCAAATCAAGATAAGGTAAGATAAGATAAGGCATGGTAGGATGAGATAAGATTAATAGAATAAAATAAAATCAAACTGTTCAGGTAGGAGTCATGGTGCAGATGGTTAAGCCATCACTTGCAACACCAGCATCCTAGGTCAAGTCTTAGCTACTTCATGTCTGAACCAGATCCTGCTACCGCAAATGGAAAGCAGCAGAAGCTGGTCCAAGTGCTTGGATACCTGGCACCTATGTGGGAAATCAAAGCGTTTTTCCCGGCTTCTGGTTTCAGTCTGGTGCAGACTCGGCTGATGCACTCATTTGAGAAACGAATTAGCATATAAAACATCTCTCTCACTCTCTGTGCTTTTCAAATATACTTATGTCTATTAAAAATAAATTGCTATAAAGTAACAAATTTGTCCTGAAAATCATCAATTTATGGTATATATTAAATGTCATCAGGATCAAAACTGAAATCAATAAATTGGAATTGCTTCAAATTATAAATCACCATTTCAATTTTTTTGTAATTGTCCCTGAACTCAATGTCTATTCTTTGTGATTTTAATCAGTGCAATTACTTTAAAAATTCCAATTTGGAACTGACAAAATTTTAAAAGATGGCTATGATTAACCATTTAATTAGGTAGATGTAAATTGCAGGTAAAATATTTCATCACCAAGCTAGCGTCCTTCAAAAATTGTACAGTAGTACACTGTACATGTCATCACACAAACATCTATGAATTTTTTCTTCTTGCAATAATCTTAATATCAGTTATCTCTTGCGAGTTGAGTGATGATTAAAGTGAGGAAATTACTGACAAGGCCTAGAACGGAAATGGGAAATCTCTAGGAACATCAATTATAAGTCTTATTTAGCTATGACATTTCTCCTTCAGTTTTTATGTAAATATATGCCTTTTCTTAATTAATTTGAACAATTTTATCCAAAGAAATGTTTTAGCAGCATGTAAGACATATAAAGAAAATGCACAGATAATTAAAACCCATCACCATATAAAAGTAATCTATGAGATTAAGAAGAATTTTGAGTTATTTACTGTAGATGGTATGATTATAAGCATGGGCTGGCCATTTTGGATATGTCCCTCATTGATTATTTCTCCTTTGTTGCTTCCATAATTATATAAACATATAGATACACAATCATACATATATATTCATCAAGGATACATTATTAGTGACATAGGTGGTACTATTAAAAGGATTTAACATCACAATTACATTTGCTTTAACAAGCATTACCAACTCTCATGACCAAACCAACTAAATGGCACATAACCACTAAACTTCCTGATAATGATATAAAAATACTTAACACAATAAATTCTTAAAAATTTTTACTAAAAACTAACTGCTACATTTCTCATAAGCTCTCTTTTAATGTAATAAAGAAAAACATACTCCATCTGTTGCTGTTCTTTGTTCAAAATGCTCTAGGTATAATTACTTAAAAGATGATCTAAAAGACAGCAATGAAATTCCAGTGAAAAAAATCTATTTTACTCTCTTTGTCATAATAATGGTACATACTGTTTTTAGAAGTCTTGAAAAACACTTGCCAGTATAGTCTACTATAATATATAAAATGTTTATAAATTCATATATATAGAAAATATTTCAGTCTTCAAATTGATGGTGCTTAATAAGATATAATGCAGAAAATGAGCATTCAAGTAACTGGTCATTCTCTTAACCTTTTTTTTTTTACCCTAAGAATTAAGTGAACTCATGAGTCAGTTGTCTATTAGTTTTCTATAACTATGTGGAGTCATTACAAAATTTCTTAGACATTAGTTTTGATACAGTAACATAAAAGAATAAAACAACTGAATCTTTCAGATCCTTATCAACTTTCAATTTTCTGGATTTTCATAAAATGTAACAACTATCCCATGTCGTATCTTTACACATGTGCAGATTGCCAAGATTTCAACTGCATTAAATCATTCTTTGTGGCAGTCTTCTTCAGGTACAACCTCCAGCAGTACCTGTAATGTTCTGGTCATTTTGTCTACAAAGAAATAAAATAAAAAAATTAAAAATGGATGGAAATTAGAAATACATAAAGCAGTAAGTATGAGTTATTTTAGGTTGTATACAGAAACCACACATTTCGAGTATCTCAAAGAGTACTTTCAAGAATTATTTACTTCATTGTACTCCTATCACACTTGATTAGTTTATTTGCCACTTCTGTAACTTCCTCTTGACAGCCTCTCAGGAAGAACACATGAATATTTTATATTCAAATAGAAACTTTTATTCATGACTAGAAGCCCAAACATAATTTTGATAATAAAGCCAAGATATAAAAAGTGTCCAAAAAGTGCTATTTAATTTAAAATTGGCTTATTCTCTTGACACCCAAGAGATTATAAACAATCCTTCCCAGGAATTAAGAGAAAAATCAGAACACACTATGCAGACTCAAATTTGCTGTGTGTTACTCAACCAAGAGGCAACTGACAGAAAGGTAGAAAATATTTGTGATCTATATATTTGATAAAGAATTAATATCCAAAAATAAATGCAGATTGCTATGCAAAAGTATTTAAGAAGCACAAGAATCTCAACAACAGTAAAACAATCCACTTAGCAAATGAGCAAAGGACATGGACAGAAATTTTTCAGAGCATGAAACGCAAATGTCCAACAGATACATGAAAAAAATGCTCAGCATCATTCGCCTTCAGGGAAATAAACATTAAAACTAAAATGAGGTTTCACCCTACCCCAGTTAGAACAGTCATCACCCATACATCAGAAACAAGCAAATGCTGGCAAGGATGTGCAAAAAAAGGAAACCCAATACCCCGTTAGTGGGAAGGTAACTAGCACAATAACTACAGAAGACAATAGAGATTTCTCAAATAGCAGAACATTGATCAATCACAGGAATTAGCCAGCCCACCACTTGGAATTCACCCAAAACAAACCAACAAACAAAAAATGAAATCAGAATGTGAAAGCACTATTTATATCCCACATATTTTTTAGAGAGTGATTTATGTATTGGAAAGTTAATGTTACAGTAAAACAAGGAGAAACAGAGAGATAGAACTTCCATCTGCTGAATGGCTCCTTGTCTACAATGGCTCAATTCGTAATACTGAACAGATTCGGGAAAGAAAAGTAAGCAACCCATGAACAGGCAGTTGCAGCTCTTGTTGGGAGAGAAAGGGCAAGGGCTCTCTGGTAGACTGAGAAAGCACAATGGACAAGGCATCAGCAAAGGCCACTTGGAAAGCAGTGGGGCTAAAGCCGTGTCACCTGCAGTCCTTCTTCCCACAAGAGGTCCTACCGCAGCCTCCTAAGCTTAGCCGCACAAGGCCCATTTTGCTTCTTCTCTGTTGCTTCGCTCCTAACACAAAGCCTTTTCCAAAAGTGTATTTTTATGCTTTTTGACTCTAACTTTTTTAAAAAAACCTTGCTCTTCCATGTCACACTGTATTCATCACAAACAGATGGGGAGCAATGAAGGCCATGTTGCATCCTGCTTCTGCCATTCTCCTCCCTATAGTCCAGTTTGTCCTCTGCAACAGCAGAGAGAAGCCAAATAATCTCCCTGCTGCTCATCATACACTCCCAGTTCTTGCTCTTCCTCTACATTCAATCTCCCTGGTGAATAGTCTTGTCCGTTGCTTTCTTACACTGTCTTCTATAGTTTTAACAGTTGATTAACAACTATCATTACAAATGAAGGTTTCTACAGAGTGTTGGTTTTTGCAATGAGTATGCGTTGGAATCACAACAACTTGGTCCAGATTAGGTGGTTTTTCAGGAGTGGAATCAGATAGGCCTGTTCAACAGGATCGGATAAGCCTATATGGAAGCTTCCTGTTTGCCCTGGAAAGTAGCAGAACATGTGACATTTGATCTTCAAGCCTACATTCATACCCTGTGTAAGGTTTTCAGCTTTGTGGATAAATTCCCTGATATTACTTCTTCAAACAAAGGTGAGCCAGTGAGTTTACATTGCTGATTTTCAGCCACGTAAGGTACAGAAACAAATGGCAATGGCAGTGTTTTTAGCTTTCCTTTTCATGTTTAGTAGTTATTCCTGAAACAACTTAGATAAAAACTAAACTTACACAATCTGCTTTACTCAACCACACCTGTCACCATGAGAACTACCACCCAAGTGGAAAGTTTGAGAAGCGATACAAAATCAGTCTGCCTGGAAAACCATCTTGGGAACAACAGGATTTTTTCCCAAAATTTTCCTGTGCATTATCTCATTCTACCCATAGAGTGAAGATAGTCTAGGCCCCTAGGAACTATAGGTGAGCTGAAGTTACAGAAAATGCCATACCATAGGCTTCGTGAAACTTTTGCCAAGTGCAATAGCCAAGTTTCAGTGATATAAACGAAGTTACTCTGATTCACCATCTGCAGCATATGCTTTTAGGATTCATGTTGCCAAGTCACTGATCAAAAGATGGATTATAGTAATTCTGCTGGTGTGGCCCAGATCATTTTTTGAATTCAAAGTTTTTTCCTTAACAAGGTTGCCCTCCATATCTCTCCCTAAGTGCATGGCACCAATTTCCAGTCACCCCACTCACTTTCAGCTGCAAGGCAGTTTGGCAAGATATAGGTCGACAAGTAAAACAGCTTCTACAAGTTCTGGCAAAGCTGAGCTAGCCCTTGCCTGAGTTTGCCAGGTTTGCCTCTTCTGTGTGTTGGCATATGTCAGCAGACGTGTCTATGCCTTTTTCTCACATGAGAAACTTGTGGTTCTGTAAGTAAATAGATAATACAAATAACCAAAATGGATGGCAGGCAAAAGTTCTCTGCGAATCTGACTATCCCCTTAAGAGCACACTTTCTTTACACCCTGGAAATGCAGTCACACACAAAAAAATGGTTCAATACTGGCATCTTGTGGCCAGAAAAATATTCTGAAAAGCTCAGCTCCTTGAGTTCTGAGCATTCTGTGGATGACAGACCTAAGCAGCCTGACACCATTTTCTGAATGCCGTTTCATTTTTCAGGAACACAGCCACAGTAAGATGCATTTTGATAGACTGTCATTTTCACAGAGCTCATCTGCTCATATAGAGAGTAAAATAAATGAGAACATAAAAGCTAAGGAATTTTACTGAACAAAAGAATATGATACAAAATTACTAAACAAACCACTCCAAGTAGAGGCTCTCTTTGGCTTTCAAGTTCATGGTGAGTTTCTTTCCATCAAAAAGGACATCCCTGAAGAATGGTGAGGGGTGGTGGGTTCAGACCTCTGGTGTTTTGTACATCTGTGTACAAGCGCTTTATTTGGGGCCAAAGACTAAGAAAATATTTGCTGCTGCAGCTATAAATATTATGAATTTTCTTTATTTTACTACAAGAATGGGACCTAAGAGGAAAATCAACCAAGATTGTAAAGGATTGTTGCTTTTTGCCACTCACTTTTTAGACAGCTATAAAAATAAAGAGTTACAGTGATGGCAGTTGACAGACAGAATTGCCATGCTCCCTGGTAAGATTTAATGGCATTTTTGAAAACCAAAAAATCATTATGGGACTACTCCATTGCTGCTAGTTTCACAAATGGCTAGCACTAAATTTGGAGGCCTTGGAGATGTTCAAAACATCATGAAAAGCAGAAAAATCATAAAATAATTTCAAATGGCATGTTCATGGGCTACAAGCATCAAGCAGGGAAACCGCTTGTTGCCATGCACTGAGAAGTTACTGTTCCAACATGCTCACATATCACCGAAGGGAAAGAACTTTCAGAGTCTACCAACATAAAGAACAAAACAAGTGGGATGGAGAAATGAACTGTCATCATTATCCTTGTCTTGCTACAAAATCAGATTCAGCTGGTTTCTTCAAAACTTCTCTTGATCTTCTGGTGTACTCAAAAGTTTGAACTTCCTCTGTCTAGAATCAGAAATGGATGTAGACTTCATGGTGTTGAATGGCTTTTCTATCAAAAACATTATCAATGAATAAAGCAATTCTAGAAACATTTCCTCTCCTTAAGACAAGGTTCTATACTTAGTGTGTATGACTGAGAAAGCATAACTAAAAAGGTTCTATACAGACTATTGTGAGCCAATAAGAAACAAAGATTGAATATTTGGTTGAGGCCATCAGTGTGTTCTTGGGGTAGGAGAGCAGATAGTACTTGGGTACATATTGCCCACATGAGTGACCCAGATGGAATTCCTGGCTCCCTGTTGGTGTAGCCATTTGGGGGGCAAGCCAATGAATGGAAGACTGATTCTCTCTTCTTGTGCACATGTGAGCACTCGTGTGTGTGTTTGTGCATGTGTTTGTGCATGCATAAAATGGAATTAAAAATAAGTTTATTTTTGGTGCAAAAGTATTGTGAAACTCATGCAAAATATTTTCATAATATGCATTTCCCAGAAAATCTTAGAAGACACAGATAAAATACATGCTTTATAGAATAAGGCTGTTACCTATGGAATGAAATCTGGGTATAGAGGGCAGGATAATATATAAAGATATCATATGCAGTTAGAAGCTTTTAAAAAATAGAAAGCAAATCTAATGAAAGGACGCCTTCTAAATAATTTTGTGTAATGCAGTAGAGATTCAGAATATATGACTTTTATTGTGTGTGTATTTTTCAGCAACACTGGCATTACTTATTAAACATTTTACCAGGAATCTCTGAACTTTTAACTAGGATTTTTTTTAATTAATTATGGTGAACTAAGTACAAAGGAGAAATACAAAAATTGTAATCTAAACTTACCAAGTTCAAGAGCAAGGAGTTATCTGATTCTCTCTCTATCTCTCTCTCTCTCTCTCTCTCTCCCTCTCTTTCTCTCTCTCCCTCTGTTTTCTACCAGGAACCCCCAAGCTAGAAAGAATGCAACTTAGAGTTCTATCACTTGTGTGTTCCAATGTTACCGCTACAGCTTGAGATCTGTGTAGTCAAAACTAAATGCTCCAAATTCTTAAACTCTCAATTTTGCATTTAATCTTGTTGAAGATTGAGATGGTGGTGGTGATAGACGGAAGCAGATGCAGGGTACTCCCGGCCAGAGAGATTAAGCTTTCAACACAGACTTTCCAGAAGCATCTTTGCTGCCCGCAGATCGACTTCATGTTCTCCTCCTTCATCCTAAATTGACCTAATCCTGCAGGATTTTAGTCCTTAACATTTTTCCTTTTCTTGGTATTGTTTCCATTGTCTCAGACACTGCAGAGAAGGGTGTATTCAGACCTGCTTGGATTCTCATGAGGAATGCTGCAGGAGCTAGCAGATTGTCTGCAGCTTCAGCCCTGTCTTGTCTATCCTAGCATGGTTTTTCTAAAATAGGAAGCTGCCCCAGTGATAATTCCAACTTTTCTGTTCATAGTTGTTTGATTTGGAATAAGTGATGTGGATTCACCGAAGCTAGAACTCAATATCTATAGAGTGGGGATAATCATTTATCCAATATCAGTAGAGTGTCATGTGCACTAGTAAGCCCATACACATGAAAACACATAGAAATTAACCATAAATTGAGCTACTCTTCCTTCTTCAATCATTTTGGCTACTGTTAACACCTTTCTATGTTACATTTTCTAATTTTCCATTAAGGTAATGCTATAATCATGATATTCAAGATGTTTTCAACTTCACAAGAAATCTCATTGTCACACATCAAATTATATGTTGTGATACAGAATCACTAAACACTGTCCAAACCAGAAAGAAAACAACTAGTTTAAAAGATATTGCAGAGCAAATAATTCTTCTATGGAACTACCAATTAAATTCTTAAAAACCTATTATCTTAAGTGATTATAGCCCCAACTACATATACAGAGAAGATTAAATGTTTGTATCCTAAATATCTTTCCTGCTTTTTCTTCTCTCCGCACCAATTAAAATGCAATAATGAACTCACACTAGCAATGGTGCCACTTACATTTTTAAAGTTTAAAATAGATGTGTCACTGATATGCACCTCATGTGTTTTCTACAGCATGTTCTATTCATTAAGAAGAATTATTTATTTAGTTAGTTGTGTGTTTATTTAGTTGAAAATCAGTAATACAGAGACAGGAAGAAAGAGTAAAAGAATCTTCCACAGACTGGCTTATTCCCCAGCCGACTGCAATATCCAGGATTGCGCCTGGATGAAACTAGAAGCCAGGAGCTTCTTTCTGCTCTCACATGGGTGGCAGTGGCCCAAGCCCTTGGGATGTCATCCATTTTTTTTCCAGGCCATTAGCAGAGATCTGGCTCACAAGTGGAGCAGTCAGAACATGAACCAGAGCTCATGCGGGATGTTGTCTTTGGAGGCTGTAGCTTTACCTGCTGTTCCCCAATGGCGACCGCTTCATATCATTGTCTCTAACAAGCTCCTGAAGCCACTTAAAAGGTTTACTTAACAGAGACTGGCATTTGTCACAGTGGTTAAAACACAGCTTGTTATATTCATCCCATGTCAGGCTGACTGTTCAAGTCCTCACTACGGTTAGGATTTCAGCTTCCTGCAGGCGTTAATCTTGGAAAGTATCAGGTGATCGTTTAAGTGGTTGGATAGGTGCCACCCACATGGGAGACTTGGATTCAGTTACAGGCTCATGGCTTTGGCCTGGCTCAGTTACAACTATTGTGGGCAGTCCATGAGAACTATCTCTCTGTTGCTCTTTCTGTTTCTCTTTCAAAGAAATAAATGGTTAAATGATGAAAAACTAAACAAAGATTAAAAGTTTATAACAAATAATGATTAAACAAATGATTAGAAAAAAGTAAACAAGATTAAAGAATCAAAAAAAAAAATCTTACCTGACATTTTTCTAAACCACTTGGGTTTCTTGTCCCATATTATAAAGAGATAGTAGGCAGGGACGCCGGTCAGAGTGATGACAAAACCTATTCCTGTACTAAACGGATCCGAATAAAGGGAAAGCGCCACCATGAAGAGACAGGTGAATGAGAATAAAGCTGGGATGAACAGTGGTACCTGGAACAGAAATAAGTCACTTCAAACTTAATTCAAGAGATAGAAGGAGGGTTCAAGATCTATACAACAGGCAGGCTTTAGTCACATGATCAGATGACAGGCACCAACCTACCTCAGCAAAGACTCTGGTCTGGGGCACAGAGAATGCATTAAACACTCTCTCCTATACGTAAATTGATTTATTTTTAAATCTTTGGACAGAACAAAATCTAAGGATAACAAAGGGCATTTCGTTAGAGATGCTGTCCTTGAGCTATTTTACTACCTTTATGCCATTATGATTTATGCTTTTGATTTTAATAGATTGGCTCTGGTGATGGTGACTAGAATCCACTTTCATGTGGAATCAAGAGCACTGGCTGCTTGTTGCATGTGAAAGCCTTTCAGTATGCATCGATTTTCTGTTGGGAGTCACAATCAGAACTGACAGCAATGAAACAGGCCAACTCCTATTCAACCGCTAATGAAGATGCCACCAGCATTAGGCAATGAATATAATTAGAAACAAATTCTGTCAACATGACTGACAACCTTATCTGAGCTATTTCTTAAAAGCAAATGAACAGTGAGCTCAAATCAATCCATGAATGTCTAAGGCTGAAGGAGATGATGAGCATATTCTACATATGGGCATTCTACTAAGTGATACATTCATGGATCTTTGCCTTTCCTATGCACTTATTTCTTAAACACATGACACATAAATTACTTTTAAAGTATATAATATAGAGAAAAAGCAAAGCAACAAGACATCACATTTAAATGTTTAACATTGACTATTTTGTAAAACAGTATCCTTTAGAACTTTTCATTAATAAATGTCTGCCTCACTCTTATCATGGCTTTATCAAACTACTCAGCATACAGACATTCTGCACATTTTGAATGGATTAGGTCACTGGACACATTCATGCAGTATCAACATCCCTCACATCCCTCACATGCTTTCTCTTTTCAAAAATATGACATCAAATGTTCAGTAAATCACATAAAAATGTGATGAATTTTCCAAGTTAAAATAAATCCGGTATGAAGGCACTCCCTGTAAGAGTTAAACATTTTATCCCATGGGATTCCACCCCTTGCCCAAACTCTCCATCATGCAGTTATGACAAAAGGAGGACTGGGCATTAGGAATAAGATTTATGAAAACTCATCAAGATGCCTGAGGTTACCTTGAAAGGACGATGCATATCTGGGCGTTTGTAGCGCAGATAAATCAGTCCTGCAACTGCCAGCCCAATAAAAAGCCACCTGGCAAAACTGAGGAAATTCAGAAGACTGTTGAGATCTCCAGAGAAAAGCATGATCATTGTTAAAGGATGCTGGAGAGAAAAGGGGGAAAAAACATAACGGGAGAATTACAGGAGAGCGCATTGATAACAACAGCATCCACACTGCATACTTATTATCTTTCTCGTATGATGATTCATGCTGAAAAACTCCCCGAGGTTAGAGTCCGCATTCCATTAGCCTATTTTCTCCATCCTGCTCTCACAACCCCAGTACGCAAGTGACCTTATGAGAGAACCATCCCTGTTACCCTTCCTACAAGTGGAATTGTAAAAGAACCACCCTGCTTTGTTTCCCAGTTCCTTTTGCAATCGGAAGAACAGAACAGGTATTCAAAGAGTAAAAGACAGGATCCAATGACTCAAAATTTAAAGTCCCAGAGACTGAGATTAGGAGGTCACTAGTAATAAAAATGGAAAATGCACACCATCGAAAAACATACAGAAGACTCTGAGACCTTCCTGAAGAGCTCTGCTCTTTACACACACAAAACACGGCCACTTCTAGCTGACCCTGGCGGTTTTTGAATGCTAAACAGTGACCTTCTCTTCCCCCACATTTGCTCTCCCCGCGTGCTTGCCATGTGTGACCCTGAAGATTGTGGAGATGAGGGAAGTGCGGAGATCAGCAGACTAAGCCCCTGCAGCTGCACACTGCCAAGGACAGCATGACTGATATAGAGGCTTAAAAGGAAAGCCCTCTTCGTGGAATAATGCATTCTGTTCCCACAAGTGACGTTAACTTCCAAATCTGCACAGAGAGTGTGCGGACTTTAAAAAGAAATTTCAAGGAAACCTCCTGAAACAAATTAAATGCATGGGAGAGAAATGTTCAAGATATTATATAGTTCTCCTGACAGCAGATTCTCATAGAGAAAAATGGTGCACAAACGTAGGAAAGAATACAATGTAACATTGCCAGTGAGTATCGGGGGACCTTTACACCTTCTGTAGTCTTTTGTGTCCCCACATTTCACAAACACTGTTCTTTGTAAGAATTCTACAACTCAGATTTAAGTTTTGAAGCTTTAATTTCTGCTTCTGTAGGATTGCTCTCTAACATTTCACTTTTAATCACAGAATCATTATATTCCTAGGATTTCACTGATTCTTTGAATAGCCTGCATGCATTTCATTACAAGGGACCCATGGCACATGGATAACTTGTCTGTGGCTTCCAGCTCTACTTGCACAAGTAGGTAGCTGCAATTTATAACTACAGCCTTTTCTGTGAGGCTCTATGACCAGACAGCATCCAGCTGATCATGTTCCTGAGTCCATATAGATTTCTACAGAGGCAAAAGGGAAATGATGTGACTGTCCCTCACCTCCCCACTACCCTCCAAGCCTCTAATAACTGAATAGAAATACTGAGTAAAGAAAGTAACAAAAACATACGCTTAGAGTGCTGATTTGGTCATGAATGAGAAAGTAACACCTTGTCTAGAAGTCTGCTACAAATTCTTCTTTACTGACTCATTATTCCCGCTTACATCTGGATATACTTGTGAATATGCATTACCAAAACAATAACAGCTGGCAGAGGAGTGTGCTTGTGGACATGGATCATGGAGAGGATTTCTGGAAGGTGACCCTCTCGAGACGCGACGTAGAATAACCTGATGGGAGAAAAATGTGGGTGGAGTTGACTGCAACGTTGATTATTTCAAAGGGGAAAAGGCAGAAAACCCAGAGAAAATTAGCATCTTTTGCATACCACATGGTTGGGCGCTATTTCAGTGATTACTTAGGTTTCACTTTTCAGATAAAATAATGCCACAAAAAATGTGACTTTGCACTTTAAAATATCTACCATTACATTAACCTTTAAGAAGAAGTAATAGCAGCATCTGTCTAATCATAGATTGCCCTACATACACATAGATGATGGTAAATTTAGTTTTAAATCCCATCAATATATACATATATGCATGTTATCAGTTCAATCCAGCAAGCATACGCTCCACCCCCCCCACACACAGGTGTATACCCATATAGCATTCATATTGGTTTGGCTAGGTTTTAATCTTATACTATAATAAAAAGAATTTCGCATCAAACAAAACAAAGGGAATACAGTTAGTGGGTGGTGATTTCTAGTGTCTCTTAGTAACTTAGAGAAACAAAAGGTTTTGTCAGTAGAAATAAATGCTATTGCCATACTCTGTAGATAACACTATTTAAAAGCAAAAAGCCACCTGCCCAGCTTCCAAACAGGCTAGGAGGAGGCACACAGCGCCCTCTAATGGGCGCAGGAAACTAAGCTGTTGGTACTTGCAACAGGATGCATCCACAATCTTGCATGTTCCTTTAAAAAGCAACTGGTTTGGAGACACTATTTCTTTTCTTTTTAAAGCTATCCTTATCACATTCAATTTCAAAAAACAGAAATGTGTTTCTGGAATTTTGTGAACTCTCTCACCTCGAGACAGCAAACACACCACCATTCATGGAACCAAAGCAGGAGAGGGCCACAAAGATCGGAACTGCTAATGAGAAATTTCCCAGGAGCCGCTCAGAAAATGTCTAGCAAAAGGAAAAGAAGAAGAAGAAGCAAATTAATACTTTGGCAGAAAGTGGAATAAAATGAAAACAATTTAGTTCAAACTTGCTCTATGACTTTCTCTTTGCCTGCTGATACCTATACATTTTATATTCCTTCTCTGCAGTGAGGGTCAGACTGAGTCCACAGACAATAATCAAAGGCAGGTGCCACAGCAGTGCTTGTTGTAAAACTATGGGCAAAGGTCTAAACAAACATCTTCTCTCTGCTTTTAAAAAGCAATGATCCATTTTCTGAATCTTTATCAACTATGATGTGAATCATCTCTGACCCTGGTAAGCGGAAAAATTGCAATTCAAACATTTGACACTCAGACAGAAATGCTACTGCACAACACCTTCCTTCCCTTCAGTGAGAAAATCCCATTTTTAGACTGATGCACAAATGTACACCAGCAAGTATTCATAGGCACTTGTTTCATGCAACGATCCACTGTCAAGGGATAAATGAATCAACTGATGATATAATCATTTACATCTTATACATGAGTAGCTCTGGATATCTTTTTTCCCAAACAAAATCACACTAACCACACTTGTGTATAGAATCACTAACCCCCCCCCCCGGGGTCCTATCAGTTCTTCTGTGGTTTCCTATATAAAAGTTATAGCACAGACAAGCCCAGCAAACCACAGAAAGTGCAAGAGATAAAACTTCTGAAATTCCTCTTTCTGTCATGGCAACTCTACAGAATGCCCTGAAGAAAGTATGGTCTGAGGCATGTGGGATTGTGAGGCTGCCCTTGGTGGGGCTGCTGCTGTATATAACCAATGCAATGCATTATGGCTGAGGTGTAAGTGATGCCCTTTGTCTGGAGAGACAGAATGACTGACCTGACAGCAACAAGCTTCTTACATTTGATCGTCTGATGTGACTTAGAGCAGTGGACAGACTTATTGTAACATAGCGAACTCACACAGAGGTTCACATGAAACGAGATAACTTATTCTTAGTGGATGCTGCTGATATGAGGTAACACTATGTTAAAAAGAACTAACATCCAGTGATGGGACATTCATTGCTCAGGTCATGAGTGAATGCTCTCTTACTAGCTAAGTTTTTATACAAATTAAAACGTACATGCAAATGTACCAACAGCATTTGTTGAAGAGATCAAACGTTTCCATGGATGATTTTCAGTTCTCATGCCAAACATTACATGGTTGTACATATGTGAGTTCACTTGTGGTGTTTTTAGTCTGTTCTATTGATCTCTGTTTCTGGACCAGCACCAGATGGTTTGAATGACCACTGCCCTGTACTGCGTCTCCAGGTCTGGACTGTGATTCCTTCAGCTTTACTTTTTATTCTTCAGAATAGCTGTGACTATCCCTGGCCTCTAGTGTTTCCAGATAAAGGCTCAGGCTCTCTGACTTAAGGAAATGAGAAAAAAAAAAAAGACCACATAAGAGTGTCATGTAACTCCAGCGAAATTGGCCTACATTCAGACATTTACCAACAACATATTCTGGCCTGGATGTGGGGTAAAAGGTACCATACTCCACTGTTGGTGGAAGTGTAGGCCAGTGTAGCCACTGTGGAAGTCATTATGGATGGTACTCAGAAAACTGACAATGAATCTACCATATCACCCAGTATCTCACTCATGGAAACATAACCAAAGAAAGTGAAATCTGCATATGAGAAAGTGACCCAGAACCCTTTATTTATAGCAGCACAATCCACAACGACAAAGACAAGGAAATAGCCCAGATGTTTGTTGAAAGAGCAATGGATAAAGAAATTAAGATGTAGCTACTCCATGGAATAAAGCTCAGCCATAAAAAATGAAACATGGGCCCAGCACAGTGGCCTAGCAGCTAAAGTCCTCGCCTTGAATGCACGAGGATCCCATATGGGCCCTGGTTCTAATCCCGGCAGCTCCACTTCCCATCCAGCTCCCTGCTGGTGGCCTGGGAAAGCAGTCAAGAATGGCCCAAAGCCTTGGGACCCTGCACCCATGTGGGATATCTGGAGGAAGTTCCAGGATTCTGGCTTCAGATCAGCAGAGCACCGGCCATTGCGGTCACTTGGGGAGTGACTCATCGGATGGAAGATCTTCGTCTCTGTCTCTCCTCCTCTCTGTGTATTTGACTTTGTGAAAAAATAAAATAAATCTTTTAAAAAAATGAAACTCTACAATTTGCAACAAAATTGTCCCAAGTAGAGACCATTGTGCTCAGTGAAAAGAGTCGATCCCAAAAGGACAAATATCATATGTCCTTTCTGACAAATGGCAGCATTCATGCAAATACATATATATATATATACATATATATATAAACATGTATATACATACATTCTCATGGATGAACTATAAAGTGGAGACTACTATACTGGAAGGACCTGAGTAAAAGGAAGACTCCCATTGAAACTATTAAATGTACCTTGACAACAGGATACTAGACTTTTCTACCATTACCTATGCCTATAATGCCATAAAAAACTTAAATAGCAAAATGTTGCACTTGTGATTATTACTGTAGGACTTCCCTACTGTTATAACATGGGGAGAGACAGTGGCAGAAAGAGGCGGATAAGGAAGGGAGATAAGAGAGATGGAGGGGGGAATCCCTATACCTAGAAAAACATATCATGGAAAGTGATTTTTTTAAATGCAAAACAAAAAGTCTGTGACCTGTAATAGCAGCCCTAAGAAGTGCTCCATGGCAGCAAAGATAATCCTGAGTCAAGTAAATGCTAGAAAATGCTGTAAAGCTATGCATACCCATGCCCTGTGGAGTTAAAAACATACACTAGCATCTTTAATATTCCAGAAAATACCATAGGAACTGTTTAATTTAGAATAACTGAGTGGTCCCTCAATTTATTCATTTCCTCAAAGAATATCCAAAATGGTCCATGGCTATGAACATGTAAATGTAAGATCCACATGAATATTCTTAAGTGATGCCTTAAGGCTTTGAAGTGATTGTTTGACAAGTCCATAAATAGGAAAGGATGCATAATAAATTGTTATTTTCATACCAGAAAAGACATTCATTGAGATTCAGAAACTACCAAGTTGCCCTTAAGACCTGTTAAAACAATAAGGTTTTCTTCCCTACATATCTTGACAGGGTTTTAAGGATGAAATGTGGAACAAGTATCAATATGTGGAAATGCTGTGCAAGAAACTAAAATTAAGGAGACGTAAGGATTTTAGCTGTATTGGTAAAATGGAATATGCTAAGGTATGCTCTAAATATTTAAAATATTCATTTTCATTCAGGTCAAGAAAAGATTACTGAATTTCAAAACACTTTCTGCTGGAGGGAACTACTACAACACGGCATCAACTCATTAACCTAAATTCAAATTGGCACTTTCCCAGCTTGGACTTACCACCGCCACTGCCTTTGAAAGCAACAGCTCCTCAGCACTGATGGTTGTAAAGTAGGCCACATTTGTGAGCACATAGCCAATGGTGACAATGGCCATGGATATGCAGATTGCAAGGGGGACATTTCTGAAATGCACAAAGAAATCACTTATTAGCTATACTATTCAAAAGCACAGGCACCAAAGAAAATCACAGGTTACAACATGGGATCCACGATCATGAGTGACCCCGTTGGGTCTAGGCAAGCATCTCACCAGGGTGGAGTTCCACATATTCCTCTGTAATGTTCCTGGGAACAGGTTTTTCTTTTTACTCTGCTGCTCCTTCCATGGAACACACGGAGCTATTTCCTGTTTGTACTCTATACACGTCATAGCAATGTTTCACAAACTTCAGCATTCATCAACATCACCTGGAAACCTTGTCAAAACACTGCTGGGGTCAGCAGCAGAAGCCCCCATGTGCAATGCCAGCATGCAACATGAGTGCTGGTTTGAGTCCCAGATACTTCATTTCTGATTCAGCATCTTGCTAATGTCCTGAGAAAGCATCAGAAAATGGTTCAAATATTTGATTCTTTGCCACCCATGTGTGAGACTCAGAGGCAGTTCCAGGCTTTTGGATTTGGCTTGGCCCAGACCCAGACATTGTGGCCATTTGCAGAGTGAACCGCTGGTGGAACACCTCTATCTCTTTCTCTGTCTTTGATCCCTTCTCCATCAATAACTGCCTTTCAGATAAATTAATAAATCTGGAAAACCATAGAATGCTGAACCCTATCCAGTTTCCATTTCAGCCAGCTTTGCATCTCCCAGAAAGCTGTGATTCTGAGATTGCTGAGCAGGAAAACAGTGCTTTAGAAGCCAGCAGCCTCTTATAACTTCCTAACAGCAATGGAGAACCTTGACACTTTTCTAATGCTAGTCTCAAAATCATTTCCCACATTCAATGCTTTCCCCTCCAGGAGATTCCCTTATCAGCAAGTAAGAAGCAGAGTCGTGGAATACTTCTACCTTTCTAAGTGAAGTCAATAATATTTTTGTATGTAAAATAGAAGAAGCACAGGAGTGTTCACAGTCACAACTATGCATCACCCTGCTGTGAGTTCAAAGGAAGCTCAAGATCATAAGTATCTAATAAAGCAACAGCACAGATAATCCCATGAAATGAGAGGTGATGTGCTGTGAAGTACAGATGACCAAACAGTGCTGATATTACTTAGCATCAAGAGGTACCCAGCACACACGCAATATTACATCTTCATTTAATGCACTTGGAAAGCCAGGAAGTTACTGACCCTAATAATTTGATTCCATGTTACCGATACACATTGCTTGCTTAACATAATCGCCACTTCAGACTCTTTGAGGCTCAGGCAACTTAAACCTTCAACACCCTGCACAGAGGCAGATCCGTTTTCAGCCGTCGTGCTTATCAGCCTTCGCGGAGCCCTCACCCTGCTGGGTGCCACTAATGAAGACCTCAATATAATTTCTTCCAAGGTGAAAACACAGTTCAAAACCAGGGGGAAAGAAAAAGGCACAGACCGCCTCACTGCCAGGCCGAGTGTGTTTAGAACACCAAGTCCCAGCTCATTATGCCTAACAGCAACATCCCCCGTTGAGAACAGGCAAGCACAGCCAGTCAGAGGCTGCCATTCATTATTTTGTGTGGGGCTTGACACTTCCCCTGATCCCCAAAGTCTTAAGCCTTGGTGGGGAATCACATTGACCTCTAAATCCCAGCATCCTGATAGGAAAGTAGCAGATGCTCTAGTGTGAAGAAGGTCTCGTGGGACATCCTGCTAGCATCATAATAAGCACTGCTACTTGTGATTGATAAATGCTGGATTGAAGCAAAGCAAGTCACGGGGCTAGTTCAATACAAAAGGGTAAATGACAGAAAGCAGATGAAAGACAAATTCTGTTTCCTTGAAAAAAAGGCTCTATGCAAATGCCAAAGGGCAAGAGGAAAACCAGGAAAGTGCAAGTACAGTTTTGCAATCAATCAATCAATCCATCACTGTATCTTTTTGAACTTGAATGTCTTCAGTTTTTATAATATTCCCAGAGGAGGAACCTTCCCCCCCCCCCCACCACCACCATCACCCTTTCCCGAGTGGAAGAAACACAGGGATCCTAGAAAGTATATGACTAAGATACATAAATATTCTTATAAAAAGGATTAGACTAGAGGACTGAATATGAACTTAAGTGAAGCTGTTTGACCTATCCAGGATAGGGAGCACTGTTATATCGCACAATGATGCAAAACAGGGGAGAGAAACAGGAATTTGGTTTGTGGTCCTCACAGCCTAGAATGGGGCCTTCCAACCAAATTCTTCCATGACGGCTTCCCTGCTTGCTCTTTGCCTAAACCTCATGGTTGTGCTGAGGATGATTACCTAAGTGGATCTTGGCAGAAGGGATCGTAAAAATGCCAACATTCCCTTCTCTCTCACTTTGTTAGAGACAAAATCAACAACAGCAACCACTGCTAGTAAGTTGCTATGTGTCCAACTTTTTAGGAGGCATTTTCCATATTGGTCTCATTTTGTCTTTGGAAAAGCTCTAAGAAATAAGCATCGCCACTCCAGCAGATGTTGGCTGTGGCCACTAAGATGCTGCTTGAACACCTGTAGCCTGTAAAGAAGGGCCAAGGTTGCAGTCCTATCTCCACTCCCAGTACAGAGTCCCACTAATGAACACTGTGGGAGACACCAAATGGTGGCTCAAATACATGGGTCCCAGTTATCCATGTGGCAAACCCACGTGAGAGGCCTGCTCCTAGTTGCCTAGATGCCAGCCAGCTTTGCTATTGCAGGCAGTCTGGAGTGAATCAGAGGATGCAAGATATTCTCTCTTTCTCTCTCTTTCTCTCTTTTAAATAAAAGAAATTTAGGGCCCAGTGCAGTAATCTAGAGGCTAAACTCTTCTCCTTGCATGCACCAGTACCTCATATGGCTGCCGATTTCTGTCCTGGCAGCCTTGCTTCCCATCCAGCTCCCTGCTTGTGGCCCGAGAAAGCAGTCAAGGACAGCCCAAAGCCTTGGGACCCTCCATATGAGTGGGAGGCCCAGAAGAGGATCCGGGCTCCTGGATTCAGATTGGTTCAGCTTGGTCAATGCGGCCACTTGGGGAGTGAATCATCAGACAGATCTTCCTCTCTGTCTCTCCTCCTCTCTGTATATCTGACTTTTCAATAAAAAGAAACCCTTTAAAAATGAAATTTAAAAATGTAGAACAAATGTCAGCACCATTTTACAAATGAGGAGATAAAGTGAAAGTTTAAATAGTTGTTAAAAAATACACACCTGGTGAACTGAAAATCCGAATTCATTTGCACATAAATCCTATTTTGAAATTAGGGCATTTCGGTCACATATGCATGTGAATGCCTAAACTTAGACAAATCATAGTTACAGAATGTAACGTTTGGTATAAAGCTCCTGTGAAGACTGTATGCTGTACGTATTTATTCCACAAAGGAGGGAAATAACTTATGTCATGATTCTAATCATTTTTCTGGATAACATGACTCTAGCATTAAGTGATATTTCTCATAGTTTTGCTGTTCAGAAAATAGGTATTTCTAATACCCATTAAGAAAAAAAAAGCTTCTTAAAAATTCTAGATATAGATAACGCTTATAGAAAATATCAAGTAAGTATGCTTGTCAAGATGAAATAGGTCATTAGCACCTTTACGATTAGGCAAATATACTACATGGATCTGAGATGGGTGGGAGGATCACAGAAACTTCAAAATGAGAGGTCTCACCATGGTGACACACAACATACTCAGTAATTTCTCTCTAATTGGGCAAAATTAAGTCATGAGAATCTGCGTAGGTGTAGTAAAATAGCAACTAGCTTTTGTGCTTGCATTCGACTTCTGTCAACAAACGGAAGAGGGCGGGAGGCTCCCTCAGCAACCCTGGCATAAACTGCATCGTTTACAGAGGGGAACAGTTGAGTGGTTCACAAGAGCTTCACGCTGCATGGTTAACTCCTAGGTTTCAAGCATCAAGAAATAAGAGCAACTGGGTGAGCTGATAAAAAGCTATTAGGCCATGCTACAGCAATCTTTGTGGAGGCTTTAGATGCAGAGAGCAGATAGGCATGGTTAGGAACCCAAGATTAAGATAAATGGCACAGGAAAATAAAAGGAATTAGAGGAAAGAACCAGTTCAGCGCCAGTGTTTCAAAGCCTCTGTGTTACCGTGAGGTATCTTGCAATCTTAAGGACAAAACAAAGCCTTGACTTTCAGCTGAACAAAAATGACTCATCAGTAAATTCCTCTTTCTCAAATGTTTACGCAGGCAGATTGTCTAACAGAACACAATGTTATTGAAAAGAATTATTTAACCCTTGAGAGATTTTTCCCATTATCTGTGTTGTTTTCAATTAACTAATTGTATCAGTCAGAATGTTCTAATAGTTGCAGATGATCTCCAACCAAAAACATGAGTGGGGAGCTGCGGCTGTGACACAGAGGGTTAACTCACCTCTTGTGACATCGCCAGCATCTCCTACAGGGACTCAGGTTCCAGAGCAGAGCCACTGCCTCTGCTCCCCACCCAGCCCTATGCTCACGCATCCGGGAAAGAGCAGATGATGGCCCAAGGGCCCCTACCACAGCATGGGCAATCCAGGTGGAATTCATGGTTTCTGGCTTCAGCCATGTCCAGGCCAAGCCACAGTGTCCATTTGGGGGAGTGGATGGCAAATCAAAGCACTGACTTTCTCTTTCTCTCTCTATCTCTCTTTCTTCTGTCTCTCAGTGTCTCTGTGTTACTATGCCTTTCAAATAAATACATCTCCAATCCACAGCTTCATTGCCCAAATGACTGCAACAGCTGGGGCTGATCCGGCCCAAAATCAGAAGCCAGAAACTCCTTCCAGGTTTGCAGCATGGTTAGCAGGGAACTAATTAATTGATCTGTTACCTGCCGCCTACCAGAGTACAGCTCAGTAGGAAGTTAGATTTTGAATTTACAGACTGAACTCAAACCTAGACACTCAGATCAGAAACATCAATATTCCAAAAGGCATCTTAACCACTACACCAAATGTGTACTCCTTCCTATAGGGATATGTCTATGTAATAATTTATATTATATATAT